AGCGCTTTGGGGTCCTTAGGGACTAGTAAAGCGCTATATAAATACAGGCCATAACAACATAAATAACAAAAGAATGTCAACTGGAGGCCTGATTAAACAGATAGTAGTTACAGGGTAACTTTTATCACATACTTCACTACCTACAAAGTACATTTTTACTTATTTTTACTTAAAAACAAAAAACAACAGTTTTTGTTCAGATGTTTGAAATGACATTGAAAGAACAGTCCTGAACATCAAAACTGTCCAGAAATCATTAGGTGGACTAACAGTCTGGATCATAGTGACCTGCTAGCACATTTTTTGTTGTTGATGTTGTTGTATTATATTTTATGGAACCCAGAACAAAACATATGGATCATGAAGCACAACAGAACACGACAATCAAAAGAAATCCAGATGTTTTTCTTACCTCTGAAGGAGCTGTTGCAGTAAGGTCGGTGCGGAAGGTCAGGCAGGATTTCTAATCTGGTTTCAAAGTTACCCTCCTGCACATTTGGAGTAAAATAAAGAAGAATACAGAGATAAATCATAAATTTCACCTAAAGCATCAAATCAGCCACATCTGAGGCAGAAAACGATTTCTGAATAATTCTGTCTTGTAACCTCGTCCATTTGGCTCCAGTTTAGACTGACATCAGTTGTTTCTGTGTACTCTGTAACGCCAGGCTGAACTCTTCTATCATCTGTTAAGCTCATCCGCAGACAGGACCTGTCCTCCAGTCTGCTGCTATCCTCATTTTTTCCATCTTCCAGGCTGCTGATCTTCTGAGCCTCTTTCAGGTCAGTCGGAGTCATACCCTGCAGGATATTCACACAGCTTCACATGTATGAACAGTTTGTTAAATCTTTCAAAATCTAAATGTGTGTCAACCATTTCAGTACCTGTGTTAACCTGCGAGTTTGTCTCGCATGGCGAGATTTTGCTTTTCTCTGAGATTCTGCTTCTTCATCCCTGACAGGGGTCAGATACGACCTGGGTCAGGAAAAACACACAAATGCATAGGTGTAATTAGTCTGCACGAGGCCACAGTCATACATATGAAGAACCAATGTTTTAAATTGAAAAATGTAAAATCAAATCAAGTCAAATGGGACATTAAATTTAGTATCTAACTATCTAGGTATTATTAACAAAACAAAGCTACATATATGAGCAATAATAGACTATTTGCATTACAAACCTTAACAAATCCCAAATCTACTCACAAGCTTCCGAAATTCAGTAAAAATGTCTAGTATTAATTGTACACGGCATAATAAGATAAAATCAAAAACATTCCACTATTATGTGGCCTTTATGTGACCCAGTGTTACAACAGCAAGTATGTTAAGCTGCTAACACAGCTTTTCTGTGATAGCTGAACACACTTCTGTACTTTTTAATTGTCTGTCCTGGCATTCTACTCTACCCACTTTCACAGGAAATCAGTGAATCAACATGCTCTGAAAAGATGCAAGCCTGATATCTATGGCTGTCTTCGTAGACACAAATAAAAAGCTGAGCAAGCATCGGTGGGGAGGCTCATGTTTTACCCACTGAACTGCTAGCACTGCCTCTGCTATGCTTTTACTGGTATTGATCTTTCAGTTGTGGAGTCACCCTGAATGTTCACTGAGATTCAATGGGCTGCTCGGCACAGCAGCACAATGTAGTCTATGCAAAGTTCAGGACTTGGGTACCATTAATGTGCATAATTCTACCGACTGATAAAGAAAATAATCAAGAACAAACTAATTTAGAACCCAGTATAGCAGCCATCTCTGCTATACTGGGTTCCAGAGGCGAATGCTGGAAAACCAGTATTATTACATGTTTTACATTTCAGTTTTATCCACCCACTCTTAAAAGCGAAAAAACTGCAAATTATTCCTCTCAGGCAACATACTCAAACAATTTCTTTTTAATCAGCTAGAGAAGTTAGCAAGAATAACAGCCTTAAGACAGTAATTACTAATGTACATTTTTTAAAAAGCTAATCAAATAGATCAAAGGAAAATATGAATTTTCAGCCCCCTATGCAACAATCCCAAGGCTCACATCACATTAGTTCTTAGAGGCCTGCAGCACCTGCACAGAGTAGCATAGTTACTCTACATTAAGATAACAAACATCAGGCCTTGGAGCCTTGCCAAAATGGTCGCTTGACAGATTGATAAATCTAAAAATGAAAATGGCTAAATAAGACTCCATGAATAGACCAGCATGACTCAGCCCCCCCACTGAAACCTACCTGCTAACAAATGCTTGCATGGTCCCTGTGGAAGGTCAGAGACTGAAGAACTGAGACAATGCTGCAGGGATGAGAGGGAGAGGCTGGAGAAAAAAGGACTCTAACTGGCCAGGGTGAAGAGAGAGAGAGGAAGAGAAAAGGAGGGGGATGGGGGCACTTCCTGCCTGAATGATGCATACACAATCAATTTAGGCTCCTATGTACCAAGGTCTGATGCAAGCAAGTCTATGCATACTTCAGCTGTGCATGTGAGCAGCAACATTTAGTAGTTTATTTGAAGAAATAAGGAGACTATTATCTTTCTCTATCTGGACTATTTGGATCTTTGAATTCTAAAAAGAAAACAGAATTGTGCATTAACCAATCTAGTTATTCATTGCTTAGTTTATTTATCCACTTACTTCAGGATTAAACCTTATCCCATCTACACATAGGAAACTTAATAACTAAATGTACAATTATGGTTAAGTCAAGGCTAAATTTAGCTTCTATAACTATTGAGGTTGTTTGCTAAACTGAGATGAATATAGATATCGATATAAGCAAGACACAGGAAGTATTGGAATCCTTTTTTTCTTTTATATAACACATTTTAAAACTTTAATATAAATTTTTAATATTAAAACTAATATTTAATGAGGTCAAAGGTATATTTCACCTGAACCTTTAGAAGAGTAAAAGTATAAAGAAGCATAATATGGAGATTTATACCTAAACACTGCACCGGAGATAGCACACTTACATATTAAACATGTTTAACAAAATATGAAAGGTGTGACACCTGGCATGCTCAGCTGAATTTTGTTACATTTTGTGGCAAACTGGAAAACCAAAAAGATACATAATTTCTCTATACAGCGGAGTAAAACTATTTTAAGTGCACAGGAGAGTAGAATAGTGTTAGTGTTTAGTGTTAATAACTAAAGTTTCAGTGTTCATTATAACATCGTCTAGTACTGTACAACAGGCTCGAGTTTTTAATAAAACTAAGCACTAATGCACTAATATGGCATAGAAGAATGCACTTAAGTTTTAGGGACATAGATAATATTTGATAGCAGCATAACTTATTGTAATAAGGTTCATAGGTTTCTGGACAATGAGGCATTTATTAGAATTTTTCCTCGCTAAACCTGCACAATGGGTTTTACATCAAACAATCAAAATGTTATTGCAGGGCAAACTTTTAGTTTTAATTCAAGTAATTTAACTAAAGTACTGCATTAACTCTTTTAGAATTACAGCCTTTTTTATATATAATATTCCATTTTTAGAGGCTCCTGTGTTGTGGTGTACAGAGACAAAATTATAAAAAAAAAAAAGTGTAACTGTTTAAGATAAGAAACAGACTGAGGTGTTCCTGGCGACCATGCCGAATTTGACACAACAGCAATTAATCAAGTATACAGAAGTGAAAGAACCAGAGTTTATTTTACAAACATAATTGTTATACTGATAATAAACACAACCTTAAAAAAAAGTGCACTCTAGGTTTGTTTTATTTCGTTTTTTTGTAAAAATGCACAGTAAAAATCACTTCTTGGAAACATATTTCACATTTGTAAAATATGAATACACATATTTGTAATTTCCTGAAAAAAAATTAAGAAAAAAAGACATTTGAGATACTAAAATATTTTGCTCTAAGGTTACACTCACTTTAGCAACAATATTTTTGATTATTGGAAAACTCACATTATTTGAAATCATGTTTCTTGCTTTGTTTCTGTTGCTAAACATGTTAATACCGCCATTTGTTCCTCCCTCAATTCATCTTTGCTGTCAGTGTGCTGCAGAAAAACACTTAAATCTGAAAACTACATCAACATTATTATAAAGCTAAGCTTTCGTCAAAAGATATTTTTAGATGATGTATAAAATGAGTCGCCTCTTGGCTTTGTGGACAACTTGTTCTCTAGTTGGTGTGACTGATGCTTTGAATGACATGTGAATACTTCTGCTGTCCTAAAAATGTAACTTAAGCACAGTGCAGGCTCCAACCCCTCATATGCAAAACACTTTGTTCCTGAGGTGCATCATTAAGCTTTTTTTCTAAAGTTGCATAGTCTTTCTATGATTGTTTGTTAAAGACACACAACATTTATTAAAATATGATTAATTAAAAAGCAGCAGAGTAATGACAGAGTAATAACCTTTTGACCTCCCTGTATCTCACAATACCACCAGTGTGTTCTGTCTGGCTGGAATTGTAATCAGTTAAAAAGTGCAAATAAAATGATAATAACCAAATCTATAGAGCAAGCACAGCTCTAGTTATTAAACACTAAAAAACAAACATGTCTTTAAAGAGTAAAAAAAAGTTTAATAAACTTTGCCATACCTTTAAAAAAACACTCTTATTAATTCAGTTATTGCATATTATTGATTTTCTACCATTTTTCTTGTAGTTTTTTTCCCCTGTGTAAACAACATCAGGGACACAATGAATTACAGAACTGTAATTGTTGTTTCTCGTGATACATTTCAGGCAGTGACAAAAAGCAGCACACTTTGTCACCAAGACAGGTATTACTTATGGCTTCAAGGTCACAGCTTATGCACTGGCTTCTTGTTATTTCATTAACAGCTTGGTAGAAAATAGTGTAAATTGTTATGACAAGTGGAATTTCTTTTCTTTAAAAAACATAATCATTTAATGGGTTAAGGCTTGTTAGACTGTTATTGGCAGGTACACCCTGAATGACTCATTTCCTTACAAAAACGAGCCATGTTAGATTTTGAGGTACAGGTTTCAGCTCTGCATGTTGACGGAATTTTCGATTAGGTGTGCCTTTCAGAAAGCAAATGAGTAATGCACCTCGACAACAGCGATCAATAACTCTTTCTAACAGTATTTTTTATATTGCAGACAGTGGTGGAAGTCGGAGAAAGCTCCTGTTTTTCTTGATGGATAGGTCCATAGCATAAAAGAATGAAATTTCTTCCTGGTGGTATGCACTCTGTAAAAACATTAAAAAGAAGATATTAGAATGGATATATCAGTAAACACATTTTAGTAAGGCAGAATAGTCAATTAATAACTTGGATTGATAATCAAGTCATTATTTATGAAAAAAAAGAAAGTGAAATCTTACATTTGTCTTCTGGCAAAGCATCAAATTCTAAAAACTCCTCTTCTTCATCAGCCTCCTGTGGGTCCTCTGCACCATGGTTCGCCTCTTCATCTGCTGCTTCCTGCTGTTCGTCCTCTGCTTCTGACACTTCTTCCTCTACATCTGGTTGTTCTGCCTCAAGCACTGCCTTCCAAAGCTGCTCCTCTTCTCCAGATGGTACGTGTTCTTCTGACTTCTCCCTTTCATCGTCTTCCGACTCCTCTTTCTCCAACACCGTCTCATCCTCATCTCTTGCTTTGAGGCTCTCATCTTGGACTGTTGAGTTGTCCTCACCTTTCTCTCTTTCAGGTGCCTCCTCTTCATTGCCTTTCCGGTTCTCGTCTTCAGCCATCTGCTCTTCAGCATTGTGTCCCTCCTCTTCTGTCAGTGTTGTGTGTCCCTTCTCTTCTTCTGATACAGTAACAGACTTCTCTTGTTTTGCATCATCTTCCTCTACTGCCTCTGCCTGCTGTGTAGGAACAGTTTCCTCTGTCGCAGACTCCTCCTTTTCAACAGGAGCTGTATCTTGTGTATTTAGTTCTTCTGGCTCATCAGACTCTGCCTCTTCTTCCTCTTGGGTGGATGTAACTTTTTCATCAGCTGTAGGAAGAGTCTCTTCTTCTTCTGATTCAGCTGGTGCAGCTACCTCTTCCTCTTCCTCTCCAGCTGCTATGGGTGTCTCTTCTTCAGTGTCTATGTCTTCTACTTTTTCAGTTCCTAAGGCTTCTTCTTCTTCCTCCTCCTCCTCCTCCTCTTCTTCCTCCTCGTCAGTTTCTACATTTTCTACTTTTTGTTCACTGCCCAAGGCTTCTTCTTCAGTTTCTACAGTTTCTACTCTTTTTTCAGCTTCTACAGGTGCTTCTTCTTCTTTTTCTTCACTTCCTGCAGCTTCCTCTTCCTCTTTGGTTTCCGCCTCTTCTTCAGTTGTAGGAACTGTTTCTCCCTCTGTCTTTTTCAGAGGCTTGGTCTCAGGTTTCGTTTCTGCCACAGACTAAGATAAGCAAAGTCATATCAAATAACTGGAGCAAAATATTTACTATTCAGCTATGTAGGCATCTAGGTATCTCAGTGAATGTGATGTGATTAACTGACATACAAAACAGGAAACTGCACCACACGAGTGTAAATGCTGATGTAAATCCATTGGGGAATCCATGCCAGGCAATTAGCTTCTTCAAATTAATGTGATGAAAATGTTATTATGGTTCCTAATGGGCACACTGTGAACGGAAATAGTAAAGAGGCCATGTGTGGTGACAGCATGTGTGTTAAGCCATGTCGAGCATGTTCTGCCATTGAAATGTAATCTAATCTTTCAGTATATATTTAATAACTAATAAATCTAACATATAGTCCTAGATATCTGATTTTATTCCAAGTTGTTATTTATTTTCCTTTTAAAGATAAATCTGGTCTAGCCTGGTTAATCTGATTCTAATGACTGATTTATTTAGAGAGCTATTAGGCCATATTTTTCTTACCTAATCATGAGTTCTCAGGTTCTTGTGGCAGGTTTAAAAAAGTTTAAGGTTTAAGAATCATGTAAATATCACATGTCACATGCAGCTGTACTATATGAATAAACATCAACAAACTTAAAGTAAAAATATTATTAGACGGACTGAATAAAGCAAAACAAAATGATGATTTAATAGATTTGACTGTCAGGACTAAAAGGGTTGTGCTTAACACACAAATATCAAAATTAGATAAAATATTACATCAGCAGGGGCACTCACATTTGATTTGTTTATTTGCCATTTAACATTAATTTGACCTGACTGCTAAGATCATGATTTGCTACCTTTTTTCCATTTTATTTTTTTCCATTTTGCATTTAATTAATAAGATCACCCAATGGGCTTCTTTGTTATTACGGGCTGCTAAGTTCTGATCCTCCAGACTGTGACGTACCACATTAAGCTCCTGTACTCTGGCCTGATGAAGCCGCTGCGACTGCTCATGTTCAAACAACTCTCTGAAAGACAGAAGACAGAATAAATTTCTCTTATGATCTTGTGGTCATTATTTTGTACCTTCATGAAGCTTCACTCACAAAACATACCGATAGTTTTATTACAACACTTCTATTTCAAAGCTCAAATGACAATAATAGCATGTGAGCCACGTTCTCTTGATGGTTATGTAAGCGTCAAAGACTTTTCAGCTTTAAAACTTATGAATACAAAAGAAATATTTACATAGATCATGGAAAACTCACAGTGTGATAAAGAGGCCTACCAACTCTGGTCTAGAGTAACACAGAGTTGCAGACAGTGGCAGCCAACAGGGCTTTGGCAAAGACAACATAAAATCATGGGTGAGAGGAGGCAAGTTATTTCCTCCACTGCTCTTTTTCCCACTCCACCACCTACCTGACAGTAGTCATTTCGACCACGCTAGCCT